TCCGTCTGCACTTTGAGGCCACGGCTGTTGAACTATAGCGGATGGGTAACCACCCACATTGCTTCAAGTTTTTGAGGTCAGTGACTAGAGTTTTAATGTAGATCCCACCGTTCTATGATAAAAAAGAAGTTCATTCTGACACCCCAGATTAGGTTACTGCAGTACACACAAGACCTTGCGAAAATACAACTGTTTGCGGTGAAAATGTTGCGTAAGGTTTGAACACACTCATAAACAGGGGTGCATTATGGACAGTCCATTAGATTACTTTGCATCATCAGTGGCGTTTCTTCCAACCATGACAATCAATCTCAGTAGCCCCAATCTCGTGTATCACCACAGTCATTGAACGAAAAGCTATGTGAAATTGCGATACCTCAGATTAGACTAATGTAGACTGAATAAGTTGAGGGAAATGTAGAGCAAACTGCATTCGGAACATTGAAGTGAAATTCGCTCCCAGGTACCTGGATTAAGACGCACAAAAATACCTTGAACCTGTTCAAGGTTCCGATTCATTCAAGTTAGACGAAAATTTTCGTTTCAAAATGTGATTCACTTTTGCTAACTGGATAAGAATAACGTGCTTGGAGGGGAACCAAACATTCCATCATCCAAACTTTTTACTCTCGTTCGAGTGGTCCCCATCCGTCGTTTGTCCTACACTTCAGTGATGGACGAATGTACCGGTTTTAGTCAACAACAACGGGCTGAGCAGTCATGGTTTGGGACACTGAAACTTGGTGTGCTGTTAGATTTCCGTGTGTTTGTATAGTCGTCTTCCGGGGGTATCTTGTGGACTAACAGAATCCGCGCACTGTGGTCTGACATTCAAGACTGAGGCGAAAATTCTTATAGTGATCTTATAGGATGTTTAGTTTTTCTCCCCGGTCTGCTTAGTTAGCTTTGATGTTTATTTTTCCAGTCTGTTTTATGAGGATATTTTGTCATATTATGTCTGACTGGTGTGGTGAGGAAATTGCGGATCGTCTCTGCTTGATGTGTCCATCTACGTCTGCGTATCCCAATACTTGTTCGACCAGCTGAACCTCAGTTCTCGTTCATCCGAATTCAGACATTTAATGCTATCACGTAGCTTTTTGTAGCTAAGTTCTCTTTTGACTTAAACATCACATTACGATATCGACTGTTTACGCATTTGAAGAAACTGTAATTTGGGTAGTCTTCGTTGGTTAAATGAGTCGTACCCGTTATTGGTTCAATTCATACGAATTCACCGAAGTAGTCTTTGTAATGATTTTTCTTAAATCAATTGAGTAATGAATAATTTTGTAATACAAAAAACTGATTCTCTTTGAACAAAACCAACCCCCTGATCCGAAGACATTCTATAAGAAGGATGTATAGAGGAAACATTCACAATTGGTCTAGTTTATCGATCTTTGTTCTGAAGAGGTGAGCTTTGTAAGTGGTGGCGGTTGGAGGGACAAAGTGATAGCGTTCCGCAGTTTTACTTTTCTAAGGAAAACGGTGTGAAAGTCAGCCGGGGACAAAGGTTGATACTCGTGGGCAATGGAGCATTAAAGAGAACGCGGTTGTTGGAACCCCAAGTGGAGTTATCTCTATGCTCCGAAATGAGAAGAGACAGGGAGGACAGAACGGTCGCAGCTGATGTTCGTTACAGAAAAGCAACAGGAGGGATAAGAACCAGAAAAAATGCATGGTTGTATACTCAGAGAATGTATATATTGTTTCGAAGAACGAGAAAAGTAAGTGGTCGATTAAAAAGAGGAATAGAGCGCGTGTGTGTGTGTGTGAGAGAGAGAGAGAATTGTTACCCACCAATTTGTGTCCGGAAAACAATAATATGGGCAGTTTCACCGCTAGTCCTTGATATTTCAAACAAAACAACAGTATCAAACAAGCTCGTTTTCAGATGTTCGTATTCATGCCAATACATTTCAATATATATCGCTACTTGGGAATAAAATTATCATGGGAAAATGAAATCACCGATTAATAGAAACGATTTCATCGTGACGGGAAATCGGATCCACCATGATCACATGTTTGTTTGTGCACTCATCCGATCATCGAGATTACTCGCGATGCGGTGTGTGGAGGGTAGGCCAGGGAAGCTTAGCGCTTGCACAAATTGTTTTGGGGCACACAGAGGGGGGTTGTGCAGACGAATGCCTACCGCTTCTGCCGTAGCCAACATCCGACAGCGAACCTGCCTCGATAATCGCCCACGAACTTGATACAGAGGCCGAAAAGCCTCGGTCACGTCCACAGTGTGATTTGTTTCAGCTAGGTGTGAAACCATGGTGAGTGACTTAATCGTTCCGATGTTCAGCCACACGAGGTGGTATTCACGAATCGGTTCTGACAACCGCCTGGCCATGCGACCTATGTACGTTGTTCCACAGGGGCAAGTAAATGAGTACACACAAAATGAAACCGCAGAGTCTGGAACTTTGTCCTTCAGTCGCAAACACAATTGGCTTGAACGTGAACAACACACGAAGCTTGGATGCATAGAAAGTCTTATCGATTGCGTCGGATAATCTTCCTTTTATGATCTCTGAAAACGAACTTGTTCGCCACTCTGTTGTTTTGTTTGAAATGTGCTCTGTGGGACCATTTCCTTGATATTATGCACGAGCAAATATACTTCTAGATTTAAAATAAGACCCGGTGGTTTTCAATGGAAGCCGACCAATGGATCGTGAAAAGGGTTAGGTGGCTTCCGACGAAACAGCGCGGTCTGCATCTCTGGTAGTCATCACTCAGAGAAATGGGTGAGAACACCGTTCCATTTAAGACTCAGACAATACACTGGAATCAAAAGATGGATAAAATAGATGGCTGCAAAGAGAAGTCATTTAAGGGGCACATATTTTGAAGACAGTCGGAGGAATTCTATCCGGGTTGTTTTGGTTAGGAATATAAAGAGAAAATAGTTTTTCTGACCTTGTTTGTAAAGAGGGGATTAAAATGTCGGATATTCATATAGGAGATGCGTGATAGGCAGAGCTGTGTTACTAACTGCCTCTGCCTTATAGTCGAGCTCGGATAGAGGATTGTTGATGGAGTCCGCTTTTTGTAGAAAGTACTCTACTCTTAACTAATGATGTTCGACAGGTGTCTTTCTGGTTTCGACCAGTTGTTACTTTCACTTTGAGGGTACAGAAGGGTTCGTTCACAGCCGCTCACCACTGCGTCGCCTGGCGCTTCCACTGCTACTGCCTCTTTCGTCAGCATCGTCGCCAGCAGTGCCAAAAAATCGGGTTTCGTTAATCATTAGAGTATAAACCAGAGAAACTCAACACCAGTCATTTAGACCGAACCACGGCTTTGTTCACCGGTGATCGCAAGCTCGGTCCCGCCGAACACCGGAAGTTTGTTACAGTACTCTTCAATGGTTGGCAAACACAGTTAATACTAGGTACTGTGTTCGACTTCAGAATGATCTCCGAGGGGACCTGCGAACCCTGGGTTCACCAGCGATTCCAGTCCCGTTTTCCTCTGTGCTGAGCCTGCGGCGGTCTCCTGCAGGTAACCGGGCGAATACAGTGCCGCGTATCATACCATAGCTCCACAATGAATATCACCTGCTATGTTGGCCAATCAAGTCTCGACCATCTGGATAATGATTGGTTTTGGGAGCTTGAAGCGTCCCAGGTGTTCCAGTAAAAATTGTCGTCGTCGCTAAATTTTCATTTCCACACGGATCGCCTCGAAGCGGGATAATGAAATAATCGTCATCCAATACCGTCTCTCAACCAAATAATCATCGGTGAAATAGAACCGAGCTGTAAGCGTGTAAAAACTTATTTAACACTCAGGTTATGGATTTGTTAAAAATAAAGGTAGATAATTATTCTTCACACGTCTGATGCCAGACTGTGTGCCAAACAAATCATGACACAATAATCTTTGTAAAAAAGAAGAAAAGTTAAATCATTGTGTAAACCCACTAAATAACTGGCTGAATTAGCATCAGTCGTCTTGATTTGTTTTAGATTTTGCTGATCACCCACGTTGGGTTATCTTTGATCTGTTTGAGTGTCCTGGAACAAAGCAGTTTTCAGGAAGTACACCGACTACTTGACGGGAGGCTCCGGTTGCGTGCAGCTAAGAAACTTCGTGCTGTGATTTAATTGACACA